AAAATACACCATTCATTTTTCAAGACACTTGGTATTCATAAAATATACTTTGTCTTTAAATGCGCAAGAAATAAAAGGCTTTCTAATTTTTTTTAAGACAAGTTTACGGTTTTATCGAATAATTTAAGAAGAAATATCTTACTGTAAATTACATTATTATTTCACTCAGTGTACAGATACATCTACACCCAGGAACAGACACTTACACTACAGAACTACACAAATTCTCATGTGTATTCCAAATGACATGAGAATCTTTATTATGTGGTTCCACCGCAATTAATCTATCTTGTTAGAACTACCTTCACGAGCCTATATTTTTCTATGCATTTTTTTTTTTTTTTTGCAAAAAAACTTATTATTATTATAACTAAATTAATTATTAACTTATTCATTTCTCAAGACACTTAAACATTTTTAAGACTTCATAAAATATACTTTGTCTTTAAATGCGCAAGAAATAAAAGTTGCACTGTCAAATTAAAAAAAAAATGCATGTTAAAATATAGGCTTGTGAAGATAGTTCTAACAATTACATTAATTGCGGTGGAACCACTTAATAAAGATTCTCTATTTTGGAGCATTTTAACAAAACTATGGCTGATTTCGAGAGTCAGTTGGAGAAGGAAAGAAACACACCCACTACTATATCCTCACTGGAGTCAGATTTCGACACATTCCGGAGTTTCACTACCAGAGCACTCACAAATCTTCAGAAACAAGTGGAATTGGTTGCTCATGTCTATATCGAATAATTTAAGAAGAAATAGCAGATTGTAATTTGCGTCTTATTTCACTCGGTGTACACAGTACATCTATACTCGAGTTTCAACATGAGAATCTTTAGTAATTGGGAATTAGTAGTTCCATCGCTATTAATGTTCCTTCTTAGATCTGACTCTTTTACGGAAAAACTACTAAACGAATTTTCTTGAAATATTTCAGTAATATAGCTTATACATGAGAATAATATATCGGCTATAAATTTGGGAATTAGGAGAATTAGTAGTTCCATCGCCATTAATGTTCCTTCTTAGATCTACCTTTATTTATTTTATTTTTTGTTTATTTTGCTTTACAAGAAATAATAATACATTTTGCGGACTTAACACCATGCAGCATTACCAGTGAACAACAATTATTCTCAGCGCAATCTATTGGAGAGAATAATTTTTGGCGATGCAAATATAATCATAAAAAGACAAGCAACAAATATAATAATATATTTGGTTATGTATATATATTCTTACGTCATTAGATATATCAGTGATGAGTGTCATCATGCTATCTCGATTGTTATTTGACAGACAGACGGCCTGTCAACCTATAATGAGGTCGCTCTGACATGGCGCCCTCACGACGTATCCCAATTTAAGAATTATTTACATGTCTACGCAAAAAACACATATTGTATATCTGACAAGAGAAGTATGGACTTCGATATATAAGATATAAGAGATCTCTTCTTATCTGATATTGATAATCGCCTTTTACTTGTTTTTGTGTAATTATTTATTAAAATTGCATTTATTCAAAAGAGCAACACACAAGTTTCTAGCTGATTCTTCTTGTGATGAGCCTGCGTTCCGAATGAGTGGTAGAATCAGAAATATTACTATTCCAATGTGATTTTATTGCGTTTATTTGAATGAAAAATATTTCTATTTCTATTTGTTTGCTTGCTGCCTTCTAGTTCGAAGAGGAAAATGTGAAAGCAAAATTATTGGGTACCTAGAATGGAAAACAATGAGAAAACACCGGAAAAATCGAGTTCAACCGCGGGCACTGCTAGTAGTTACATAATATTGTACACAGTTATAAAAAAAACAAGTACAACAAACAGTAAGCGGTTAATAACCTCGTCACTTCAAAGTTGTGTACCCAGACACTAGGCGTCCAGGTCTTAGCCCATCGTATTTCAAATCTGCAATCCTCAATAAATTTGAATATCCAACTAATTGAAAATGAACTGTAAAATTAGCATACCAAAGTTGGGTTTGGGAATTGTTTGCAACTTTTCGAGTTGTCGGTTAGAAAATTATCGTATTGCAACAGGGTAGGGTTGATTTTCCCGTGGGAGCATGCCGGATGGTTTCAATAAACTGCGTTGCATCCCTTGCAATATTATTGGCGACATTCGCTCAGATGCGACTTATTGAATACCCCAACGTATCAGCTGGTTTTTTATGATTCCGCCCAAAATTATACGAAATGAACAGAATATAAAAATGTCTATCTACTAAAACTACTCTGCGACCGTTTAGAGATATGACTCGAATTTATTCTATTCTATTTTATCCCTCGCATTGTATTAAAATGTATGAATCTTTATTCGCAAGACATTTATGTAATCTGGCGAATTTTGTTTAACAACTTTTTTATTAATACAGTTTTATGGTTATCAAAATTGAAACAAGCACTTAGTTGTATTAAATTATTTTATTAGTTATATTAAATTTATAATAACAATACAGAAATAGAAATAGTCTGTCTTCAAATAAACATAATATAAGCACTTTTGAATATTATTGTTTTTATTTCTGAAATGATTTAACTTTTTTATATGATTGTATAGCGAACAAGTTGACGACCTACTTGATGGTAAGTGATAACCGTCAGCATCATCACAAACATTACATAATTATGTGACATCCATAATGCCACTCGGACACTGCTCATGTCTCTGTACCTTGAAATTCCACTGGCCTTTAACCAAAACACGAACCGAGGCGAGCTAGCAGACTCATCGGAGACCAGTCACTTAATAATATTAATTTATTCAGTATAAATATAGAAAACTCAAATTCAAATTCAAAATATCTTTATTCATGTAGGTCTATTACAGACTCTTATGATATGTCAAATCTACCGTCAGTTCGGAATGATTTCGAGATGAGAAGAACTGACAAGAAACTCAGATCGTATTCTTCATTACATAGTCTAAATATATATAACTCAAAGGTGACTGACTGACAACGCACAGACCAAACCACTAGACAGATCGGGCTGAAATTTGGCATGCAGGTAGATGTTATGACGTAGGCATCCGCTAAGAAAGGATTTTGATTAATTCTACCCCCAAGGGGATGAAAGTTTGTATGAAACTTTGTCCATTTTAAACCGATCGGGTTGAGACTTTGCATGCATAAAGCTACTACGACGTAGGCATCCCCTAAGAAAGGGTTTTGATAAATTCCACCCCTAAGGGGATAAATTAACGCAAGCGAAGCCGCGGGCAAAAGTTAGTATAATATAAAGTCGCTGTCGCAGTCTGTCCGTCTCTATGTATGCTTAAATCTTTAAAACTACGCAACGGATTTTGAAGCGGTTTTTTTTAATAGATAGAGTGATACAAGTGGTAGGTTTATATGTATATATAATACATGTACATCCGTACGAAGCTGATGCGAGTAGCCAGTGTTAAATAAATGTTGCACATGTTTACAATAATACAGATTCATTTAAATTCAAAGTTACTCGATATAAGAAGTAAGGATTAAGCAAAATACGAAATCAAGTAGTAAGTTTTTGTTCCAATAACACCAATTTATGCTACATTGTGTACATGGCAGCTAACAAGGAATGAATTTTGAGGGGATCTATAATGATATTCATGGATAAATGGTACGTGGAATGGAATTTGCATGGGGACAAACAATAACGAAGGCGGCGTGAAAAATTACTCCACAAAAGTTCATTTTGATGGTGCTTTATCATCGGAATTTGATGAATTTTTATATGTACTCGGTGGTGCAGTGGTTTAAATATATAAGTACGCAGGTTCGGTGTTCGAAGCGTTTTTTTTAGGACAATTCACACAGCGTCTTCTAGACCCAAGTTAAGCTAGCTAAAGCTTGTGTTATGGGTACTAGATAACTGATACAAATACATAGATAATTTTGGTTTTTGGAAATACATAAATAATATATATAGAAAACACCCAGACCGATACAAATAATCATACTTATGAATACAAATGTTTGTGCCGTGCGAGGAATCGAACCCGCGACCATCGGACGTAAAGCGGTGTGCTAGACCACTAGACCACCGACGTTAACGTTTGTATTCATGAGTATGATTGTTTGTTTCGGTCTGGGTGTTTTCTATATAATATGTATGTATTTACGAAAAAAAATGTATTTGTATCAGTTATCTAGTACCTATAACACAAGCTTTAGCTAGCTTAACTTGGGTCTAGATGGCGCTGTGTGAATTGTCCTGAGATTATTGTTATTATTATACAAACAAATAAGATAGTAGTGTCCGTTTAAAATGTTTGTCTGTCTGTCTGTCTGAAGCTTGTATATATTACAAGGAGATCAGCTAAGATATACTGGACGCCATCGCATCGCATGGACTCAGTGGGTGAGTTCGGATGTTCGCTAGTTCGATTCCTCGTAAGATGTAAATATTTGTATTCAATTTGTTGTCTGAGTGTTCGCTATACATATTATGTACTAGCTGTTCCCGCGACTTCGTCCGCGTGGAATTTATTTATATACTTTTTTTTACTGAAATAAATGAAGAATCTAAAATAAAAGTAAGTAAGCCTAAGTTACTCCTTATTACCTAGCAAACAAAGTCCTGTCAAAATCGGTCCAGCCATTTCAGAGATTAGCCGGAACAAACAGACCGGCAGACAGACAGACAAAAATTATAAAAAATGTTATTTTGGTATATGTACCGTATATATTATATATTCATATACATGTAATAAAAAACGGTTATTTCAATATTACAAACAGATACTCCAATTTTATTTATATGTATAGATGTATATAAAAAAATATATCTAAGTGTTGTCTAGTTCCCATAGACGAACATCTTATCTAAGTGTTTACATCAGTTGCCTAGTTCCCATAGCACAGGCTCTGCTTATCTTGGGACTAGATGGCGCTGTGTGAATTGTCCAGAATTATTATTATTATTACAACATGTCTGCTTTTATTTTTTAAACCGAGTCATTATATAATCATTTAATTTTCTTTTGTTACAGTTTCTAATGATGACACTTCTAGCGGCGTTGCCTTACAGGTAGGTACGTATTGCAGTTTTTTCTCTCCGTCTTTAGACAGGGCATATATATCTATGTCGATATAAATATAAGTAAAGTTAACTACTCTGTAATCAAATATATTGGATATCTTATATATATATCTATGTACTCAGATAAGTTGTCTAGTCTAAAAATATTTCGTGGTGATCAGAATTAAGCACTGTTGATAATAAAATGTCTATAACCTTTCCAGCCAATATTTTTTTTTGAGGGTTGATAATGGAATGGTGCTTGCACTAACGGTTTATGCTGGCGGGGCACCAGTGGAGGATGATAAGATGAGCATGAGGTCAGGTCAGTTAGCCCGTAGTGCACCAGGAATTTAACACGATGGTTTAACAAGGGGAACCGCGTGTAACCTGACATGGTACATTGCTAGCAATGGGGTTATGAATCCACATTACTAACAGTCCCCTCCCCCCATCCAGCCAATATTATCAACATACGTGTTGTAGTTATAAAAAAAAGACTAGGTAAACGGAGAAAATATATTAATATAGATTACTGACAATTAGGAATAGAAAAAAGGACTTGAAGTATCAAAAACAAGAATGTAATATAAAAGAACTATAAATTTAAATACAAATTTAGAATATAAAACATTTCTTCATTAGCCAGTTACAACAAGCACTCCCTAATAACAACACTTAGTCTAGTAGGTATTGTAACTGGCTGGCTACAGAAAAAAATCTCGTTACTTACAATTTGATACTATTACAACAATCTATACATATCAATAAAATTGGAGTGTCTGTTTGTAATATTGAAATAACCGTTTTTTACTACATACATATGAATATAAATACGGTACATACACCAAAATAACATTTTTTACAATTTTTATCTGTCTGTCTGTCGGTCTGTTTGTTCCGGCTGATCTCTGAAATGGCTGGACTGATTTTGACGGGACTTTTTTTGGCAGATAGCTGATGTAATAAGGAGTAACTTAGGTTTTATTTTAGAAAAATAGATAGATAGATAAATGCTTTATGCAACAATTACAAAAATATAGCATACATGAGATACATTTTATAAATAGAAATTAAATTTACAAATTAAAAATGCAGGAATATAATATTAAAAAATAAAAAATGGAGGTGGCTTTATGTGTCGCAATGATGAAGAGGCAACCAGCTCAGCATGAAGCTACAGATAACTCTGCAGCGCTGATATTCTGTTGGCTCCTATAATTAAATACATACTCACATACATATATACGTCAATGTTTATATATTACTCTTCGAGCTCTTAAATAATTATACAATTACAAAGCATTATCTATATATATAACTCAAAGGTGACTGACATAGTGATCTATCAACGCACAGCCCAAACCACTGGACGGATCGGGCTGAAATTTGGCATGCAGGTAGATGTTATAGGCATAGGCATAGGCATCCACTAAGAAAGGATTTTGATTAATTCTACCCCCAAGGGGATAAATTAACGCGAGCGAAGCCGCCGGCAAAAGCTAGTACAATATATAAATAGATTAAACATGATGTGATGTGTTATGTTATACATATATTATTAAACTATGCATACATAAAGTATAATTCCACGCGGACGAAGTCGCGTGTACAGCTAGTAAGGAATATAATTCCATTAGCCATTATTTATGAATGATTACAACCGTATGAATTGGAATTCCATTTAAGATCCAATTTCGTGATTAAATGCTAAAGAAAGCACATTACAATGCTGAGCAGCTCACATCAGGCTTCGTAATTCCAATAGATTTCCCGCCGCACGTGTACATTCTATAAAAACTCATGTAACATGAACCTAGTTGAGGAAAACACTAATTATGTTCGAGTACTAACAATAATATTCTGTTGCTTGGGCAGGGTTGGCAAGAAAATATTATTAATAAAAAAAAATCTCAGGAGAATTCACACAGCGCCATCTAGACCCAAGTTAAGCTAGCTAAAGCTTGTGTTATGGGTACTATACTGATATAAATACATAGATATTTTTTTTTGTAAATACATACATAAATACATATATGGTTTTGTTCTTGTACTTTTTTTTATATTTTGTTTCTTTTTGTTTGTAAGTTAAATTTTCTTTGTTTTGGTAAATTTAAATTTTTTGTACATTTTATTAGACAAACGTGCTGTGGGTAACGTCATAGCATGATTTTTTTGGAATTATATAAACTCTGTGGAGGACGTCGATGTTCGAAACACAGTTTTATACTGTGAAAGTCATTGTTTCTTCAGAGAATTGGTACACATGTTTTCTGTTTCAAATAAATAAATATTATACATAGAAAACACCCAGGCCGATAAAAACAATCATACTCATGAATACAAATGTTTGTACCGTGCGAAGAATCGAACCCGCGACCATTGGAAGTAAGGCGGTGTGCTAATCCGCTGTACCATCGAGGCCGTCAATAATATCATAAATACTGAATTTGATTCTCCTATCGCATCATCGTATCATTTACTAGCTACTCGACCCGGCTTCGCACGGGTGTACATGTATTATATGTTACCCTTCCTCTTGAAACACTCTATCTATTAAAAAAACCGCTTCAAAATCCGTTGCGTAGTTTTAAAGATTTAAGCATACATAGAGACGGACAGAAAGTGACAGCTACTTAGTTTTATACTATGTAATGAAGCAGAGATGTATAAAATAGTTTAAATAATGCATTTAAATACAAAAGGCAAATACTTTTTCGATTAAATATTTCAAATGCAATTTTTTTTTTTATTATTTAAGTAATTATTTATTTTTATTGAGTAGAAACATATCTTTTATATCTTGATAAGGATCTTTGAATTGTCATATTTTTTTTTGTATCCCTTAATACTAGCAAAAGCTGAGAGAATATTAATTATATATATAATAATATAATATTTTATTGTTTCCATCGTCTCAATCCCTCAGTTTTTGCTAGTTTTTTTTTTCCACACTTATGGGCCGAAACCAAGTAAGTGCAGTGTGTGTGTGTGTGTTCGCGTGCGTGTGTGTGAGCATGTGTAGGTACATATGAGCGCGTGTGTGTATGTGTGAGTGTGGTATTCTTTCTATTATTATTATTTTACAAAAATTCTCATCCCCCCTCCTAAGGAGAGGAGATGGCAACTTACCCCTCGGCAGAACCATAGTCGGCCGGGGTTCAGGGCCCCAGGGAGAGAAACCAGCGTACAATGCGGGCAGAATCTAAGAGCACCGCTTTCTGCATCTTTCCACCCACCCCGACCACACTTTTACACACACACAAGACACCGTCCTCGCCGGCGAAGACGACGACCTCAAACACACAATATCGCGCATTCAACCGGGCGCCTGCGCGCGCCCGGGCGCTCCACACCGGCGCCCCCGGGCGCCCCTCCGATCGATCCCCCGTCCAATTCAAACGGGGTTCAAAATTACGACGACCTGAGGTTCGAACCCCTAGTGGTGTCCTCAGACTAAAGTCGTATCCGTCAGGCAGGAGTTGGCCTTCAGCCGCTCCATAAGTCCTTCCGCGGGTTTGGAGTGCCATCTGCACTCGCCTCCTAACGTCCGGTGAAGCTGTAAAGGTCAGCTACGGCCAACAGCATTAGAGTAGTCAGAAAAAAAAATCTTTCCCGGGAGTGAGCCGCCTCGGAATCCCAACCGTCTGAGATGTTGTTCCAGACTGGTTGGGATAAGACCGTTCACCGACATAACGATTGGAATGATTTCGGTGAACATCACCCATCACATCATTTATTATTATTATAAAGATTACCTTCATCCATGGCATCGGACCAATGTTGTAAGACCATGGACGAAGTTACATACATCTTGCACTGTCGGTAACCCTGGCGTTGCTCTCGTCGAAAATGTAATCTCATCCCTATAGATACGTTTCCCTGGTGATATTGGGTTCATTACCGCCAGTGAAAGACTGGACCTATTTATAGTCTCTACAAAGAGATAAATCTGATATAATGAAGCCGATCTCTACAACTAATAATTTAATTTAATTCTACTTGTAATTACTATTTTAATAATGGTAGTAGATTACAATATAATATGATTGAATATAGAAATAAAATTGGAGTGTCTGTTTGTAATGTGGAAATAATCGTTTTTTACTACATGCATATGAATATAAATATGCATTAAAATAACATTTTTTACAATTTTTGTCTGTCTGTCTGTTTGTTCCCGCTAATCTCTGAAATGGTTGAACCGATTTTGATGGGACTTATGTTAGCAGGTTGCTGATGTAATAAGGAGTAACTTAGGCTACTTTTATTTTAGAAAAATAAAGTAATGTTGCATAATTCCACGCGGACGAAGTCGCGTGTACAACTAGTAATATATAATATTTAACACCTAATGGCATTTTCTACCAGTCAATTATAGTTTTATCGAAACTACAAGTATATTACAGTTTTATTACAACTCACATATCGCTATCCGTCAAATTGACAATACTGCCAACCCACAGAAAGAATTTAGCGGAATTCCGAAGGTATAACTTTCGAATTTCTCTCAAATGAGTTGCTATGATAAAATCATCATCATCAGGTTGCAATCTGTCATGTTTATTTTGAAAATGGGAGAAATTTTCAAAAGTTCAAATCGATCGAGATTATCTGCTAAGAGTTCGAGGTCCCCTGAGCTTGAGGGCCCCGGGGCACTGCCTCGCCAAGGCCCTAGGTAGCTACGCCACTCCTAATAATAAACTAACAATGAAAAGTGAACAAAAATAATAAAAGTTATAAAGATATTGAAGTTGAATCTTAGGACATTTTGTTTAATTTTAGTCGGGACTTAGATCTAGTTTAATTAATTCCTTAAATTTGTTACATAGTAATTAGCCTAAGTTCTCTTAACTCTCTTATAATAACGGGCGAAAGAAAATTAATATTACACTAAGCAAATATTTATATTTAACTTTGTGAAGAAAGTCTTTTAATTAATATATAATTACGTAGTTTAAATGTCAAAAAATTGGTTTTCAATTACTGTATTGTTAGAAAAGTTGTCCATACAGTTCCAAGCTGTTTGCGATCGATAATTCTATGGCGATAATTCTATGGCTAATGGTAGCCATAGAATTACATTTAAAAATATATATATATATATAACTCAAAGGTGACTGACGGACATAGTGATCTATCAACGCACAGCCCAAACCACTGGACGGATCGGGCTGAAATTTAGCATGCAGGTAGATGTTATGACGTAGGCATCCACTAAGAAAGGATTTTGATTAATTCTACCCCCAAGGGGAAAATTTGTATGAAACTTTGTCAATTTTAAATCGATCGGGCTGAGACGTGCGTGCATAAAGCTACCATGACGTAGGCATCCCCTAAGAAAGGATTTTGATAAATTCCACCCCTAAGGCGATATTATAAAGGATGAAATTTGTATGAAACTTTGTCAATTTTAAACCAATCGGGCTGAGACTTTGCATGCATAAAGCTACTATGACGTAGCTTTCCACTAAGAAAGGAAAGAAACAAAAGTAAAGCCGCATAAGATATACCTAATTAACCATGTCAGGTTGACCTCCACGCGGTTCTCCCTGGAAACCATCAAGATAAATTCCTGGTGAATTTGTTACAATGGGCTAACTGACCTGATCTCATGTTCATCTTATTATCCTCCACTGGTGCCCCGCCAGTGTAAACCGTTAGCGCAGACAGGTGCATTATCATTTATAAAAAAAAAACTACATAGAACGTATTCATGTATTCTATAATAGTATTCTTAACTACCTACTTAAAAGCTTACTATAAAATTGAAGAATTTGTTAACGATAATAATGTTTTTATAGAAAAACTTTAAATCCATAGCACTGACAATATTATCTGATTACACTAATAATGAGTGCGTAGCGATTTCTATGTTGATTATCGCATATCGCTTACTTGTTATACTGTAATTATTTATATAACAAAAACATCTATTAAAAAGAGCAACACACAAGTTTCTTGCTCATTCTTCTTGTGATGAATCTGCATTCCGAATGAGTGGTAGAATCAAAATATGACTATTCAAAAGTGCTTGTAATGAGTTTATTTGAATAAAGATTATTTCTATTTATATTTCTAAATATTAATAAAAATATATGTAAATAATATTAATATCAACGATGGAAAATTATATTGATTTCTTTAATGTCATGAATTCATGTATTCTAATATTCTTAACAACATAAAATTTGGTCTCGTGTTATCGCCAAAATATATTAAATAGTAATAAAAAGATAATTATAATTAATATCAATGTCAGCAATATAAAATTATAATTATTTCTGATGATGATGAATGATGATCTATGATGAATACACATATTCTAATGTTTATTACTTACATAAAATTTAGTTTAGTGCTATCACCAAATTGTATTAAATAGTAATGAACAATATTATAATTAATATCAATGCCAATAACAGAACTTTATAACACTTATTTAATATCATGAATTCATGTATTCTAGTATTCTTAAGTACATAAAATGTCGTCAAATGAAGGACCGTATTAGTCAACCTCTAAGAACGTATTCTAATCATAGCAGTTGCGTAGTTCCCCATCATTTGTTTATCTATAACAAAGCATGGGATATTTAAAACTGGGAGCACATAGACTGCTTCTAAATCTATCAGCGATGGTCGATTGATGGCTATTTAAACAACGTGCTATTTTCTCCCATAGTTTTAAGGTAAACAGCCGAGGTATGAATTGAAGAAGGACGGCAGGTGCCAAAATCGTAATTTTAATATTAGTACCTTAATTCAACGTTAGTGATTATATATAAATACAGGGGCGGATCGTGAGTTTGTGGGGCCCTGGACTAAATCTACTTAGGTGTCTAATTGTATTACTCAACTAAAAAAATATATTGACCAAAAGCAAGCGACCAGAAATTCCCCGTTCCTTTCGATTGACGTGCACTTGGATAGGTTGATTGATCTCAGGGTTGCCAACCTTATGATAGGTTTTTTAACATTCTAGATATTTTTTTTATATTCTAAATATGTTTTCAGCGGTGATTGGGGCCCTTTGTATCCTCGGGGCCCTGGGCTGTAGCCCAAAAAGCCTTCAGGTAGATACGCCCCTGCTTAAATAGTTCAGTTTCTTACTAGTAACGTATTATTACGTAGTACGTGCATATAACAAGGTTTGGTTAAGTTGAAGCATAAAATTCAAATTCAAATTTAAAATATCTTTATTCATGTAGGTCTATTACAGACTCTTATGATATGTCAAATCCACCGTCAGTTCGGAATGATTTCGAGATGAGAAGAACTGACAAGAAACTCAGCTCGTATTCTTTTCAAATAAATGTTGTACATGTTTACAATAATACACAGTCATTAAAATTCAAATTTGGGAGAATAGAGTGACCACCAGCATATACTATTGCAAAATACAAAAAATCTAATCAGTGTTCGCAACCTAAACAGACCAGTCCCCACAAGCAGCACCCGTTCACGAGTATGACGGATGAGCCAGCCGTCATTACTCTACCATATTTGAGGAAGCACATTGACCCGGCCCACCACATACATAATATACTACATAAATAAACTAGCTTCAATTTTATTTATTAACTAGCTGTACCCGCGACTTCGTTCGCGTGGAATTTAACTTTATTTTTTTTAAATAAAAGTAACTTAAGTTACTCCTTATTACATCAGCTACCTGCCAATAAAAGTCCCATCAAAATCGGTCCAGCCATTTCATAGATTATCCGGAACAAACAGACAGACAGACAGACAGACAGACAGACAAAAATCGTATAAAATGTTATTTTGTTTTATGTACCGTATTTATATTCATATGTATGTAGTAAAAAACGGTTATTTCAATATTATAAACAGACACTCCAATTTTATTTATATGTATAGACGTATGGATAACGAGTAACGAGAAAATAACACGGCTTCGCCCACGGCGCTACACGTTTTCTATTCTCCCGTTGGTATGGTATATCTATAAAGATTATATTTCTATTGTTATTGTTTCAGATACGAGTACATCGCTATTAGTTCGGACGACGATTATTCACGTAACTACTCTTGATACAAAATGTAAGTGCACACCTATTATTGAATTTTATCTTAAATTGTTCTATTAGTTTTATATATTGTGAAATTTAAAATATTTGATTTGTACTTTTAAATCTTCCTATGTGACGGCCTGTTTTTTAGGGATATTTTAGGATATTTTTTCTACGACCAGTAAATATTTAGAGCTTCAAGTTTTTTATCATTTATTAACACATATTTGGACAGTATAAATATAAAATTTCAGCTAAAAATATTCAGTCAAACTAGAGTTACAGCGCTCTGAACACCCCCGCCTCGAAAAAAAGAGCTCCCACTTACTCCACGATTCCGGCTGATCGGCTTATCTGAAAAAAAAAAAAACGGCGTTTTAATTTGTAGGCTTAAAAGCACGGAATGACCTATAATCAAATGAATATAAAAAAAATTGGATTTTTGATAGACATTTGAAATAAAAGTTGCAAATTAGGCGTTTTTTTTTTTGTCTTTTGCTATAAAAAAATCGAAGTTTTGAAAATTTTCGATTGATAATAGTTCATTCCATGCGTTTACATATATTGAGTGTGCCCTGTAAATTTCAAATAATTCGGTCCAGCCGTTTCTGAGATACAATGGAGGAAAGTTTGAAAAACACAGTTTTGAGAAAAACGCGTTTAAAGTTTCAAGTCCGTTAAAAACTATTAAAATATCAACTTACTCTCAATCGGCGATGCCTGGTCCATAGAGTATTCCTTCCTCTTCCTCGTGAAACTCTTTTAAAGCAGATTGTTCAGCTCTTGAGTCAATCCTGGCTTGTTTAACGACATCACTTACCGTTTCTCAACATACGCTTGGGCTTCATTTTTCCCATAATCGACATAACTTTTAAAATACCTTGAAAACCTTCATTAAAGATAATAACTGCTAAGTTGCTAGCAATTTCAACAACTTTGGGACCAGAATGAAGATGTTTAGGAGCGAAAGTCCAAATCAAAGAATTCAATTCGTTATTGTTTTGTGTCTCTGCTCCTAAACAACGAATTAATAATTCGTCTTTCGATAAATCTTCGAAAACCGGTTTGATAGCTTCTTGGACTTGCGGAATCAGAGGTGGTTTATCGTGATGAAATTGGTCCAGTTCATTATATTTGTTATTTACATAACTGTCTTCGCCTTCTGGACAAAATTGATGCTGAGGGTTTTCATCAGAAGAACATTTGTGATAGTACGTTGCCCAAACTTCCTTTCTCATATCTTCAAGCGAATCTGGATGGCGTCGAATTGCTAATCCGTAGAATTTTGTAAAATATTATAACATATATAGAAACGTGTCTAAACTTGTATAAACAAATATATTAATAAAAGTGAGGCCAGGTATAAAGCCGACGGTACACAATAGGCCCGGTCTCTAACTGCCTACTCACCGCTCCGAACCGCTCTTTCTTTTACCTGCTGTATCTTTAAAACGACTTCGAATTTTCTAAAATCGCTTTACTACCGTATTCTATACATGTTAAGGGAGCAATTTATGAAAAAAAAAAAAAAAACGATTTTTTCAACCCATCACATAAAGACCCCCTTAAATTATTCCTTATTCTGTTTGCCACGTTCTGTTTTATTTTCTTTTGCTAAGTCATTGAAAACCTGTTATTGGCTTTCTCTAGATATGTACTGTTGATTAATGTATTAGATTGTAAGCTATTGGTTTTCTAATAAATAAATTATACAGATATTTGAGTAATTAACATAGGAATAGAATAGAATAGAATAGAGTAAAGTAGAATAGAATAGAAAATCATTTATTCAAATAAACTCACATTGAAGCACTGTTCAATAGTCATCATATTTTTTTTCATGACAAATGGCCGCTTACAGACAGACAGACGCGTTCCATGGTTCACCTATAAAATATATACCTAGAAATATTTTACAACGAAATACCAGAGTCTGTTATAAACAACAAACACACAAGTTTCTTGCTCATTCTTCTTGTGATGAATCTGCATTCCGAATGAGTGGTAGAATCAAAATATGACTATTCAAAAGTGCTTGTAATGAGTTTATTTGAATAAAGATTATTTCTAGAATAAAATATTTTCTTTACAATTTTTGTCTGTCTATTTGTTCCGATTATGTTATCTGTGGTTCCGACTAATCTTTGAAATGGCTTGACAGATTTTGACGGGACTTTTTTTGTCAGGTAGCTGATGTAATAAGGAGTAACTTAGACTATTTTTATTTTAGAAAAATAAAGTTTAAGTTAAATTTCACGCAGACGAAGTCACGGGAATAGCTAGTAATAAATAAAATCGGTTATCAGAAAGATATAAAACAATTAATATGTAACATGATTAAGGGAAATACATTATTTTCAGAGTTTATTGTTATTATTCAATTAAATATAACATAGTAATTCCGTATATGAAATAAAATTATCGAATATCAGACTCAGTAACTCACTAGAAGAATGTGGCGCCTTCCAAGTTCTCAAAACAACAAACTCGGACAAACCAACTCGTTCTCAAAAACAACAAAGTCTCGGAAACAAACCAACGCCAAAAAATATGAACTGTTCAAGCCCATGACAACTTTTGCTTTGACCCATGAGATCTACTGAATATGGAAATTCAAAAAGTTCCTAACACCAATTTATATTACACTAGCTGTTCCCGCGACTTCGTCCGCGTGGAATTTAACTTTATTTTTCTAAAATAAAAGTAGCCTAAAGAACTAAAAATTATTTTGTTCGTCTTAATTTATTCGTTCCATTAGGTACTGATAGGTTAAAACATTTACATCCTGCATTATCCCTTATTTTATCCCCATGGGGGTTTAATTTATCAAAATCCTATTTAAGCGAACGTCTTCATCATAGTAGCTCCAATCTTTAATTTCTTTAAGTTCAATCAGTCGAAAATCTAAGATTTATATAAACTTTCATCCCCTATTTTTTCCCTTCAGGGCAGTAATTTATCAAAATTCTTTCTTAGGGCATCGTCATAGTAGCTTTATGCAATCAAAGTTTCAGCCCGATCGGTTTAAAACTGACAAAGTTTCATACAAACTTTCATCCCCTATTTTATCCCCTTGGGGGTAGAATTAATCAAAATCCTTTCTTAGCGGATGTCTACGTCATAACATCTACCTGCATGCCAAATTTCAGTCCGATCCGTCTAGTGGTTTGGGCTGTGCGTTGATAGATCACTATGTCAGTCAATCACCTTTGAGTTATATATATTTAGATATATCATATGATATATCTACGATGTCCTTTATATATATTTATAGAATTTCTAATAAAATTAATGAAAATTGTTTATTATTGCAGAGCGCAATGACAGAAGGAATATAAAACAAATTGTATAAAAAGAACTCTCATATTTTAAATATGGATAAACGAATATAAAAATTGCCAGTGCCTCTCATTGTACTATAGGTTACATCTACATTATTAACTTATACTACCTAATAAATCTACATTACCTAATGTAGATTTATTTATAATGAATTAGCTCTGTGACGAACACACGACAACTTCGACCGTATCACAGTTACATGACATTTATCATTATATTTCGCCCAAATTACATAATATCTTTTTAAATTTTAGCCTATATGTTATTCTGATATATAAGCTATATTACTGTAAAGTTTCATCAAAATCCGTTTGGTAGTTTTTGCATGAAAGAGTAACAAACATCCATCCATACTCACAGACTTTCATGTTTATAATATTAATAAGAATATCTATTCTATGAAAAAATATGCCAAATGTACTATATGTTTAAAACATTAAGCTATAACAATCATCCAAATATCTTAACAAACTGTTATATATATAATGTTAGTAGATTTATTTCATCTAGAATAACATTTTATATTTATTTTCAGGTAAGCATCGCTATCGTCTTGAAATCTTTCCTTCTTCAAGAGATCGTATTTCTACAACAATGGATTTCGAAGAGGTGGAATTATACGGAAATGGCAGCTCCACTTACTACAACGGGACATACAATGGCACGTATGAGAACTGCCCAAACAACAACCTGCCCATCGTCTACATTGTCACACAAGTGTTGTACGCTCTCGTCTGCGTCGTGGGTTTGCTCGGGAACACATTAGTCATTTATGTGGTGCTCCGATACTCCAAAATGCAAACTGTTACCAATATGTACATAGTCAACCTTGCTATCGCAGACGAATGCTTCCTGATTGGCATACCGTTCTTGATCATCACGATGTCTCTCCGCTCTTGGCCGTTTGGCCGCTTCATGTGCAAGGCTTATATGATATCAACCGGAATAAATCAGTTCACCAGCAGTATATTCCTTTGCATAATGAGTGCAGATAGATACATAGCTGTGTGTCATCCGATAGCTGCACCTCAACTGCGGACGCCTTTTGTATCACGTGTCGTATCTGCTGCGGCTTGGACAGCCTCTGCTCTCGTTATGACACCAATATTCATGTACACTACTCTGATACCAACAGAAAATGGATTGTCGTGCAACATTGTTTGGCCAGAAAAAGAATCTAGTAAAGGTCAAACCACTTTTACTTTGTATTCATTTGCTTTAGGATTTGCTGTTCCATTATGTCTGATCTTCATCTTTTATTGCCTCGTTATTCGTAAACTGAAGACTGTGGGACCAAAGAATAAATCTAAAGAGAAAAAGAGATCTCATAGAAAAGTGACCAAGCTCGTGTTGACTGTGATTGCGGTGTATGTTTTATGCTGGTTGCCGTATTGGGCATTTCAGGTTTCCTTGATTTACTCTCCACCTACGGAATGTGCCAGTCGAATCACTATTACCGTTTTCCTCGTGGCAGCCTGCTTCAGCTACAGCAATTCGGCGATGAATCCGATTCTTTACGCTTTTCTGTCTGATAACTTCAAGAAGAGTTTCTTGAAGGCGTGTACTTGTGCAGCAGGAAAAGATGTTAACGCTGCTCTTCACGTAGAGAACAGTGTTATACCACGGAAACGAGGAGGAGGGGCTGCACGAGCCCAAGCCAGATCTGCAGCAGAGAAGGGGTTGTCTGCGGCGACTTGTGGAATTGCTGGAGGGTCACGATCAGAGGCCTCGACTGCGCTGACGTCACGATCGATAGCAGCAAGCGAGGCAGTACCACTCGAGGCTCGTCCAGCAACCCTCGCCCCTCTTATAGCACCAAATGGTCTGTCTCATTCGAGGCTTTGAGTGAAGGCTTCGGGCCATGATCGTAAGCCCTCCAGCGTGATGCTGGAAGAAGACACCCTTATAGTGTCTATTGATTAAGACTGTCTAAGTATGTATTAGATGGTGTGGCTGACAGCTGAGTGAGACACGAGCCCTGTCTTGCTCTGGCTGTCGGAGATGATATAGGAGAGGTATCATTGACTAGTATATCCATTTTTAGATAAACGACGAATTATTCCTGGTATGAAATTTGCAGTAATTTGTTTATTTTTTCTTATTGTGTACAAAATTTTTGGAGTGTATGATCTAGGGTTGTAACAATGAATTTATTAAAGTATAATTTTTTTATCGCCTAGCGACTGTAAGTTTACTGTTTGTATACCAGTAATTATTCTGTAAAAATGTACATATCGTGTAAATATTCATACAATTTGTCATAATGTGAGAGTTGTAATAAAATTACGTTCGTGATATGTGTGTACTTATTTTTTTCATTTGCGGAACCTTCCACGTCACATTTCAGCAAGTTACGAGTATAAGGCTTTGTTTCAGTAACGTGTAGAAGAAATCTGTAATTGAATATTATTACATATGTAGACAGTTTCTCTTTAGTCCTTCATAATGTAAAAAAATCTGAACGTTTTGATAGAATTAGACAATTAATCATGATTATTGTTAAAGTCAAAACTGAACAACATTTTGGAGTTCTTCCAATGTATATGTAACTCATTTTGGTATCAAAATATAATATTCAAAATGAGAAATGAAATAATATATTTCTTGAAAAAAATACTTAATAATAATAATCTCAGGACAATTCACACAGCGCCATCTAGAACCAAGTTAAGCTATCTAAAACTTGTGTTATGGGTCCTAGATAACTGATACATATACATAGATATTTCTTTTTGTAAATACATACATATTATACATAGAAGATACCCAGACCGATACAAACAATCATTCTCATGAATACAAATGTTTGTGCAGTGCGAGGAATCGAACCCGCGACCATCGGTCGTAAAGCGGTGTGCTAGACCGCTAGACCAGCGAGGTCGTCATATTAAATACTTAAATATTAACAGAATTAAAGTGAAACCAAATCTGAAGTTAATAAAAAAAATATCTACAAAATCGGCTCTGAATTAGATAAGATTTTCACTCTACAATATCAACACTAGAATTTATCTCACAGACTCATCTTATTATTAATATTAAAAATGCGAAAGTTTATAAGTATGAATGTTTGTTACTATTTCACTCAAAACTACTCTTTCAAAAATTACTGAACGGATTTTGATGAAACTTTACAACAATATAGCTTATACATCAGAAGAACATATACACTATAAATTGGACGAAATATAAAATTAAATGCCAAGTAAGTGTGATGCAGACGAAGATTGGAGGGTCAGCTAGTGACTAATAATAATCTACACTAATATTATAAGCTGAAGAGTTTGTTTGTTTGAACACGCTGATCTCAAGAACTACTGGATCGAATTGAAAAATTCTTTTTGTGTTGGACAGTCCATTTGTCGAAGAAGCTTTAACGTAGCATAATGTTATATAGCTTATATACAACATTACGCTACGACCAATAGGAGCGGAGCTGCAATTAATAATATAAAGGTGGAGAAATGAAACGCAGGCGAAGTTGCGCCGGCGCCGCTCATCTAGTAAGTAATAAGAATTTTAAAACACATCATATAACTCAATACAGAACAAATGTAAGTTCAGATTCTATGTTGTTAATATTATATAATAACAATAATCTCAAGACAATTCACACAGCGCCACCTAGACCAAGTTAAGCTAGCTAAAGCTTGTGTTATGTGTACTTGGCAACTGATACAAATAGATAGATTTTTTTTCGTAAATACATACATAATATACATAGAAAACACCCAGACCGACGTCTGTGCTGGTATATTGAATTTAGCTTTGAAAGGCCATCGATCATCGAAGACAACTCGAACGGAGTTCATGTTTGTGGTGAGTACGCAAAACTTTGACTTTACGATGAAAAATCTGATAATTTACATAGATAGATCGATTGAGAATATATTATCTCCTGAATATTCCTGATAAAATTTATATCTATATATCTATATAAATTTTATCAGGAATATTGATTTCTAACAAATTACGCACAATTACACTTATAGCCTAAGAGCCCACGACGGCCAGACATACGCCTTATTATTAAATGTTTTGATATTTGGAGTTTTCACACCTGTGTTGGGGACACACAAACAAGATTCTTGTATGTGTGTCCCCAACCCCAATATTGATCTTGTCTGTGTGGTCACAGAACTGACGACGGCAATCTGCCACGGTAGCGCCGATACACCACACCCTTCGGCCAGTAGTCCTCCTTCATTAAAGTGGGCAGCATGTTGGAAGGGACCCGGGCCACGAACTCGTTGAAACTCGCGTTGAGTCTCAACTCCAGCTGCGTCATCCTCAATGTCAGGTTATTCTTGGTTCGTATATAATCAACGGCAATGGAGAGGGCTATGCTCGGAGTTACTCTGCGTGATCGAATCAGAAATGAGGAGATCCGCAGAAGAACCAGAGTGACCGACATAGCCCGAAGAATTGCGACTCGGAAGTGGCAATGGGCAGGACACATAGCTCGTAGGACAGATGGCTGTTGGGGTCGTAAAGTCCTCGAGTGGCGACCACGGACCGGAAGACGCAGCGTGGGAAGGCCTCCAGCAAGGTGGACCGACGATCTGGTCAAGATCGCTGGAAGGCATTGGATGCAAGCAGCGCAGGACCGATCGTCGTGGAGATCTTTGGGGGAGACCTATGTCCAGCAGTGGACGTCTTCCGGGCTGCGATGATGATGATGATGATATAATCAACAATGTCCTGCTTCTTGGTGGCGTAATGTAGACGGGACAGGTACATTGTCATGGTCGGTGTAGCAGCACGTAGCAGCAGCAAGCAGACCTTATGTTAACAACTGTTTGATGTACTTAGATTCTTTTGTAGCATAGCATACTTATATTAACAATCATACTTATGAATACAAAAGTTTGTAGGTACTATGCGAGGAATCGAACTCTCGACCATCGGAAGTAAGACGGTACTAAACGGCTAGACCACCGGGGTCGTTATACATTAGATGCATTAATGTATTAAATGCACGCTAAGTTCCGGAGATATAAACAAAGATAGCTATTTGCCGATTGTTTCTCTGTTTGTCGCACGACACCATACTAGTTGTCACCGGATGTAGCGACAGCGCCACCGGAAGTACCAACATGGTGGACTGATCCCCTCAAGATATAAACTTAGTTATACAGCTTATACTTCATTAAAAGTCGGTCGGTCAAAATTTGCATATACTATCATATACATATGTATACATATAAAAAAATTGGAGTGTCTGTTTGTAATATTGATATAACCGTTTTTACTACATGCATATGTATATGCAATTTATATTCATTATTATATACTAGCTGTACCCGCGACTTCGTCCGCGTGGAATTTAACTTAATTTTCTAAAATAAAAGTAGCCTAAGTTACTCCTTATTACATCAGCTATCTACCAAAAAAAGTCCTACCAAAATCGGTCACGCCATTTCAGATATTAGCCGGAACAAACAGACAGACAGACCGAGAAATATTGTAAAAAATGTTATTTTGGCGTATATACCGTATTTATATTCATATACATGTAGTAAAAAACGGTTATTTCAATATTACAAACAGACACTCCAATTTTATTTGTATGTATAGATAGGGACCCCCTTATCCTAATGTGCCCAGGGCCTCTAATAGGTGAAAGATGGTCCTTCTTTTACCATATGAAGTGCTTGTTAGCGCCTATGTTGTATATAAAAAAAATGTGGCGACGTCAAATAAGGTCATAACGAGATATAACCATAGTCAGTTCATGATCTATAAACCGATAAGCTGCATAACTCAGCCACAAACATTTCTATCGCGATTTATGAGGACAATTAATATAAAATTTTCTTGGAGCACTCCGAGCAAAGTTTCACATTGGTATTACAAATATTTTTTAATGTAAACTTATATTATACTAGTTTTTAGCTGCGGCTTCGCTCGCGTTTATTTATAAAATAAAATATTACTATGACGTAGGCATCCCCTAAGAAAGGATGATAATGGAATGAATGGAATGACGCACGATCATATCCTAAGGACGGTGTTACATATGAATGTGGATGGTAAGGGTAGAGGAAGACCGAAAAAGAGATGGATGGACTGTGTGAAAGATGATATGGTGAGAAAGGGAGTAAATAACGGAATGACTGCGAACAGAGATGAATGGAAGAGAAAAACATATTACGCCGACCCCAAATAAATGGGATAAGGAAGAAGCAGATGATGATGATAATGGAATGACGCACCCGCCTGCGCTAATGGTTTACGCTGGCGGGGCACCAGTGGAGGATGATAAGATGAGCATGAAGTCAGGTCAGTTAGCCCATCGTGACAAATTCACCAAAAATGTATCACGATGGTATCCAGGGGGAACCGCGTGGATGTCAACCTGACATGGTACATTACTAGCAATAAGATCATCAGACCACATTACTAACAATCCGCTTTCCCCCCTCATAGTAGTATTATGCATGCAAAGTCTCAGCCCGATCGGTTTAAAATTGACAGAGTTTCATACAAACTTTCATCTTCTATTTTATCCCCTTGGGGGTAGAATTAATCAAAATCCTTTCTTAGCGGATGCCTACGTCATAACATCTACCTGCATGCCAAATTTCAGCCCGATCCGTCCAGTGGTTTGGGCTGTGCGTTGATAGATCACTATGTCAGTCAGTCACCTTTGAGTTATATATATTTAGAAGATTAAATTAATTTCACATTTAAATTAAGGTGAACGTATAAAATAATACTTTATCACCATATATTATAACGATCATTAATATAATCATTACATAGTATAAAACAGAGTCGCTGTCGCTGTCTGTCCGTCCCTATGTATGCTTAAATCTTTAAAACTACGCAACGGATTTTGAAGCGGCTTTTTTTAATAGATAGAGTGATTCAAGAGGAAGGTTTATATATATAATATATGTACAACCGTGCGAAGCCGGGGCGAGTAGCTAGCTAGTTTAATATAAAGTATATATATATACTTTTAGTACATTTCAGTGAGTATACTTTTTCTTAAAAAAATGTTTTCTTTTTTTCAAATCGGTCTATAAATAACGGAGTTATGAAGTAACAAATTTTCTAAAATGTACAGCCATATTAAGAGCATCCTCCTATTTTGTCTTTAGTTAATAAGGTATTCTTCCTTTCCGTTAGTCAAATTTATTTAATACTACCTGTACCCACGACTTCGTTCGCGTGGAATTTAACTTTATTTTAGAATAATAAAGATCTGAAATGACTGGACCGATTTTGACGAGACTCTTATTGGCATATAGCTGATATAATAAGGAGTAACTTAGG